ATTTCTCTTAATATTAATGGTGAGAAAGGGATTTCTGAACTATAAAAGAATTGCATGTCCATTTGATTAAGGTCTACAAAGTCCATATGACACAAATATTATTTTGAGGAAGATTTGATGCATATGATCATAAATATTAGGGGTATGAAACTAGTAAAATGTATCTTTGTTGAGATGACATAGTGTTAAGTTATTTAATTGATTCAACGCGTTTTATTTGCAATGTAGGGTGTTGATGTTGGTTAGATGCGCCAAACTTTACAACGTATTTTTTGTTGGGCCCAATAATGTTAAAATTAGATTCTTTATCTAAATTATTTTCAGATATGTTTTATTTTGACCCAGAATATTCTGTTCTTCTTGTATATACCATTATCAGCTAATTATGCATAAAAATGGCTCATAAACTTTATTAATGCCATTTTGCTCTGACAACAGGGTGTTGCTCTTTTTGATAAATATTAAAAAATATAATTAATAAACTCACTCATAGCTTTCAGCATGTAACAATTTTTGTAATATTCTCTATAATTACATAGAATGAATTATGCCTAGTTAAGATACCATTATGGTATGTAATAAAGTCTGGTGTCATATTTAATAAATTTTATGAAACAATCTAAATAGCGTTTTAATTATCTTAGTGTTACCTACATTTGAACAAAAAATAAGCTAGCTAAAACTAGTATAAGTTATGATATGACAGATGTCTTTATCTAAATCTAAAGCTCAGATTCATCACAGCTCTGAGAGGCGACTAATAAAAATAATTTGCTCGGCATTCAGGTGGCAGCTACAAACAAACAAGGGGATATTAAATTACTGGTAGTTAGATTTTTCACAATGTATGAGTAGACCTTACAATTCAATCTGATATATATGATCTACTGGTAGTCAAAAAAACATGCTTATAAACGAGCATAAGGGGTTAAGTTAGTCAGGTGATTTTAGACTTTAGGGACTGGACCCGAGTGAAATCGGTCAACCAGAAAGATAAGGAACGGATCTACGAGACAATGAAAATATCCGGATTGGAGGCCCGAGTCGGATCAGCCGATCAAAAGAGAGGGGTCGGGGTAATTAGCGAGTGTGACGAGGCT